TACATTGGCTTTCCTAGTTGCAGTGCTTTGAGATTCGGTGGCTGTTTTCCTAAGCTCAGCACATCAGTCTGCAAGAAAATACTTGGGACTGTACTTCAATAATGGCTGATTGTTTTTCTGCAAGGAAAGTATATTATTTTGTGCTGTTTGCATGAAGATAGGAGGAACAGAAAAAAGTCACTGAAGAAAGATAGTGGATTCATCTAATGAGTAGGCTGGGGTTCTGCATATATTTAACTTCAGAGCAGTGTGCAAGTTTAGATGACCGCTTCTGGGATTTTTCTATGAGTAAGGAAACACACATGGTTGAGTTTCAAGCTATGCATACAAAGAACACGTCCATGTGGTTCTGGCATCCAGGGGTTAAAGAGAGAAGACAGGCCTGACCAATGGTTTAGGAGTTAAGTCCCTAAACCCTCTGTGTCACTGTGATTCCTGTTAAGAAATGGAAAAAGCTACTGAGGATGTTCTGAATTGTGTGAGGATACTTAGTTGGCATAGTGAAAAGAATACTGGGCTAGTTTTCAGAAGGGAATACACAGAGAAAGAGAAGAAAGAAAATTAACCTTGTTAGAAACCCTGGCCTCTGCACTCTGCTTTGAAATATGTAACTGTCATTAGAAGAGGAGCAGATGGAGAGCCAAAGCAGGGAGGAATTGAGCATCTAACATGTAACAGTGAGCATGCCAAAGCTTTCTCACAAACACCAAGGCAGTTCATACAGATCTGGGTTTAAATCTTGACTCTACCACCCATTAACTTTGTTGTGTTGGGATAACTACTTGACCTTTAAAATTCCAATATCTGTATTGATAAAGATGAAGAAAATAACTTCTACCTCACAAGCCAGTTGTGAAGATCAAGGGAGATGATGTAGACAAAAGGATTTTTGTAGGTGTGAAATACTCTAAGAGCTTCAGACCTCATTGTTACTTTTCCTCTCTTATATATTCTGCCTCTTTGGCTCCTGAGGAACAGTTTACGGCAGGTGTTTGCTTATCTGGTTCTGGTTGGCAGACTGGTTTTTCTCTTGGGCTTGCTCAAACTCATGTACAGAAGCATTTCTGCTTCTTTTGTACTTGATATATAAAGTGAATTAAAAATGCCTGAAAACACTATGTTTTTCTATCCTGCCTCTGTCCAACAGGACTGACACCTTAGTGCACAGAATAGAACAAAGAAATACATCATATGACTTTAGCAAACAGTAGAAAGGGAGAGGTGCAGGGGCCCAGAGGCCACAGCCCTCCACATTGGTTATGTGGAAAGGCAGTGAGTTTGTGCAGAAAGATTCCAGGTGTTGGCATCCTACAGATTTGGACTTGAGTCCTTGGCATCCCTATTCATTTGCTGGATGTGTGACCTTGGGACAGTCAGTTAACTTCTCAGAATCACAAGTTCCTATCTTTAAAATGGAGTCAAAAACCTTATCCTGCAGAGTTGGTGTGAAAACCAGAGATGTCGCATGTGGAGACTTCATAGGTACACAACCAATATTGCATTGCCATTTTTACACATGTGAGTCTATATGTGGTAGTATCTCTTTGCCTTCTTAGGTAGCCAAGGTGACTTAGGTGTCATGTTTCCTGGAGATTGAAACCTGGGTTTATCTCCCATCATTTGTCCTTTACAACTTTGTGATGGTAACATGGTTATCATCCCAGAGAGAATGAGGAGGAAAACCAGGGATCTCTTGAACAAATTTGCTTTCGGTTTCACTAGATATTTAGTACTTGAGTTCTTTTATAGAGGTTTAATTATGCACAGGGGGCTTTGGGAGGTAGGGAGTCTTACTGTTTTCACAGAAAAAGCGGAGTTCTTTGTAGTGTCGCAGGTAAGTAAGTAGGACTAATGTTTCATCCAGCCCAGTGCAGGATGGCCATGGCAACATCTGGATGAATGGTCTCCTTGTTCCTGTAGAATGGGGCTCAGTCTGCGTTCTCCATGTTCAGACCCTCTGATTGTCTCTCCACCCTTCTCTCCCTGGATCTTTGGGACAGACGTTGTTGCAGAATAAATCAGAAGGCAGCAAAGATGCCATTTCAATTTCTTCCATCCTCATTTATCATCCTTCCAAATCCTACAGTTCCAATAAAAAGGGGCAGCACTTTGACTATAGAGCTCTTTTGAAGAGCTGAAATCCTACTGACCCCAAATCTTCACTGTCTCTCATATGGATGTGGTGAGCTTAGCATTTTTAAAATAAGAAATTTTCTGATACAAGGATCTGCTTCTGTACCTAGTCTTTGGGTAGTGGTGATTTATGAAATTTAGGAGCAGAGATGTGACCTCTAATTATATATTTGCTTGCTTCTCTTTCAGCCTTCTGGGTCTCACCACTTGGAAGTAAGTGAATCAGTATTAGTGAAACTAACAGTTTGATGAGTTTACTTTTTTCTTTTAGGAAACATAAAAACAGTGGCTCACAGTCATTGTGGTCAATGGGTCAGAGAGTTTTCACTAAAGGGAATGTGAGTGCCTACTTCATAATGTTGCTGTGAGGATTAAAGGAGTCAATACATGGAAAGTGCTCAGAAAAGTGCCTGACACAGGGTGAGTGCTGCATGATATTCTCCCATTCACTCCTGGGTGGGGTCTGCCATTGGCCCCAGTGCAGCTTTCTTCCCCAAGTACTATCGGTGCTACTTCAAAACACACCCAGAAAGAAGCCAGTCACAAAAGACCATATATTATATAATTCTGTTACATGAAATGTCTAGAACAGGTAAATCTATAGAAACAGAAGTTAGGTTCATGGTTGTCAAGAACTGAGAAGAGTTGGGGAGGTTGGGGAGTGATAATAGTTAAATGGTATGATGCTTCTTTTCAGGGCGATGAAGTTCTAAAATTGATGGTAGTGATGGCTGCAAAACTCTGTGCATATACTAAAAACCATTGAATTATATACTTTAAATGGGTAAATTTTATGGTATGTGAGTTGTATCTCAATAAAGCTGTTAAAAATATATCCAGGGCTGGGCGCAGTGGCTCATGTCTGTAATCCCAGCACTTTGGGAGGCCAAGGCGAATGGATCACGAGGTCAGGAGATCAAGACCATCCTGGCTAACACGGTGAAACCTCATCTCTACTAAAAATATAAAAAATTAGCCGGGCGTGGTGGCAGGGGAGGCTGAGGCAGGAGAATGGTGTGAACCCAGGAGGCGGAGCTTGCAGTGAGCTGAGATTGCGCCACTGCAATCCAGCCTGGCAACAGAATGAGACTCCATCTCAAAGAAAAAAAAAAAAAATATATATATATATATATATATGTGTATCTCCAGAATTCTGACACTACTCAACATCACTGTGTTGTTAGTCCAAGCATCCAGTCTGTCTCCTGGACCACTGAAATGACCTTGTAACTGGTCTTCTCAATTTCACAATTGCCTCGCCACTGTCTCTTTTCCATAGAGCACTGTAGTGATCTTCTAATGTAAATCAGAATATGTCACTTATCTTCCTAAATTGCTCCACTGCCTTCCCATCGTACTCTCCACAATTCAAGTTGAACACTGACCATGGCCTCAGGGTCCTGCATAATCTGGTCCCTGTGACTTCTCCCTCAATCATCATTCTCCCTCTTGCTACTTTGCTTTGGCCCCATTGACTTTTTTTGTTCTTCCAATATGTCAGTCTTATTCCTGCCTTCCTCAGCATCTTTCTATTTGCCATTCACTCTGCTGAGAATCTGACTCCCATGTCTTCTCATAGCTCATTCCTTCATATCATCTAGAATTCAACTCAAATATTACCACATCGGAGAGGCTTTTCTTGCCCAACCCTATTTATGTATTCATTTTTTAATTGACATATTGTAACTGCCCATATTTATCGGGTACAACTTGATGTTTTCATATACATTTATGTTGTATAATCATTAAATTAGGATATTTAGTGTATCCATCACCTCACGCATTTATCATTTCTTTGTGGTGAGAACATTCAAAAGCCTCTCTTCTAGCTACTTTGTAATATACAATACCTAACTGTTAACCATTCCAACATCACCCTACTGTGCAGTAAACAGCAGACATTCCTCCTACCTAATTGTCAAAATTAAAAATAGAACTACCATGCAATGCAGCAATCCCACTACTGGGTATATATCCAAAGGAAATGAAATCAGTATGTTGAAGAGATATATGCATCCCCATGTTTATTATGGCACTATTCACAATAGCTAAGATGTGGAATCAACTTAAGTGTCTATCAACAGATGAACAAAGAACATGCTGTATAAGCCAAGCAAAGAAAGATAAACATGCCATGATCTCACTTATATGTGGAATTTTTTAAAAAGTTGATATCATAGAAGCAGAAATTACAGTGATTACTGACAACTGAGGGATCGGGATTGTGAGAGATTGGTCAATGGGTACCAACCCATTTCAGGGCGATGGGTTTAAAATAATCCCTTCCCTATCAATCTCTAGCCACTCATCCATTTTATTTTTTTTTCACAGCATTCATCACTATTTGAGTTTGTATTTTATCTATTTACTTGCTCATTGGAAGTCTTCCCAACAAGCATGTAATTTCTGTGAGAATAAGGATTTTTGTCTTGTTTGCTGTTACATTCCTAGCACCTAGAACAGTGTCCCGCACTCGGTGTTTATTGAATGAATGAATGAATGAAGCCACCGCGTTGACTGTGGATACAAAACAGAAACACGCAAATGCTCATTCTTCTATGTATATCTCCTATTCTGTATCCTTACTTGGAGTATCTCACATAATTTAAAGCTCGTGATAAAATTTTTAGAAGTTCTTTGGGGCTTCCTTTTCACCACTCAGCATATTCTATTTAGAAAGGAACTTGATGCTTAGACCAATAAGTGCTGTCACTATTTGCATGAAAAGTCCATGAAAACATCCAAGGGCTATCAGAGTCTATGCCTAGTCAATCATTCCTGCTCTGAAAGTCAGCAATGGCTATTTTGGTGGCATAAGGCTGGAATCTGTCTTTACCAGTACATGTGTTTATTCTCAGGTTACTTACAGTGTGGACTTTCTTGGGCCCCTGTCCTCAGAAGAATCCTCGCAATGGGCACATTGTTGGTCATGATGGCAATATCCAGGGGTGTCAAGCCCTCGCTGTTAGGTGTGTTAAGGTCGAGTTCTTCTGGTGTATACTGACACAGGAGGATCTGCACAGCATCCATGTCCTGCTGTTCGACTGCCTCAAACATGGCTTCATTGCCCTGGAAATTCTAGAGAGGAGCAAAGGTAGATTAACACAATTTCTTAAACCAGTGTGTCTTTGTAGCCTAGCTCTTTTGAAGTTTAGAGACTGTTTCAGGGACTGTATGTCCACTTTTAAGTGGTATAACTACAATTTATCTCAAGGTCTCCAAAGTAAACACTCTGTTGGACTTCCCCTCCATCATTTCTAATGGACATTGAATAGATGCACTGAGAGAATACAGGATAGCCTGGCTAGGCTGTAGATAAGAGCAAACCTCAGCTTTCCCCAAACCAGTCTTCTGAAAAGTACTCCAATAGTTCATTTGGCTGGGCGTGGTGGCTCACGCCTGTAATCCCAGAACTCTGGGAGGCCGAAGTGGGCAGATCACTTGAGGCGAGGAGCTTGAAACCTGCCTAGCCAACATAGCAAAACCCCATCTCTACTAAAAATACAAAAATTAGCCGAATGTGGTGTTGGGTGCCTGTAATCCCAGCTACTCCAGAGGCTGAGGCAGGAGAATCACTTGAACCCAGGAGGCAGAGATTGCAGTCAGCTGAGATTGTGCCACTGAACTCCAGTCTGGGCAACAGAGGGAGACTCCATCTCATGGAAAAAAAAAATAATTAAGAGATGTTCTATGAAGAAAATAGCATGTGGTCAAATCAATTTGATAAACATTAAATTAAACCAAGGGTACCCCATTATTTCCCTGTAGGCTTCCTCAGGGTCTTTAATAATTTTAACATGTATTTTATTGCATTTGCTTTGACTATTCCTGGAATGGTGTTCTACAGAGCACAGTTTGAGAAATGCTGGCATAGATAATGTTAAGGTAGCCGTTATGGCTAGCTTGGAATTGATAGTACACTTGCTCTGTTTTTCCTCAAACTCACACCCTCCCTCCCCATCCCCAGCCTCTACATTGTCATCTCGTGTCTGGACTATGGCAATGACCTGCCTGCTGCTAGTCTTGGGCTCCCCCAGTTCTCGCTCTATACTGATACAAGAATAATCTTCTTAAAATATACATATTACATGTTACTTCCGTATTTCCAGATATCTACTAGCTCCACGCTGCCCTAAGATGAGGGGTCTGAGTGTTAGTGTTCAGGGAGGGTTTCAGTGACTGGATGGCAAATTGGTTTTGGGCCTCATGGGACTAGAGCTGAATATTTATAGAATACAGTTCACTTACAGAAAAAAATCACTTAAGAAAATATGGTTCCTTTGAAAAGTTCTTTCAAAGGATTAATAGTAAACAAAAGAGAAGAACTCCGGAATTCTTTTAGGTACATATTTCTTAGCATGTGGGAGAAGACCAACACACGTATTATTTACACATCTATCTGGTATCTTCACCAAGAGTTGCTTGGTCTTTAAAAGAGTTGAAATACCACTGGTTTTGACGTGCATAGGGATCACCTGATTAACATGTGGAAGATCTCCAGTCACCAAATGTTCAGGTGGTCAGGTTTTATTTTTAGTCTCATTAAAAATCAATTCTCCCTATCAAAGGCTGCAGATCAGCTTTAGCTGAGCACATAACACAAAATTGAAATTTGAGGAAAATACAAAGCTATTATGCAAATGCTTGTTTTGACAATGGGGACCCAGGGAATAAAGCTATTTTGGTATGCAGTTTTCTTTGCTGCAAGACAATCTGCTGAATGGTAAAGTGTTTTATCCACAATCTGCTAAACTGAAGAGCCTCTGATGCTTAGGCCCCAGTTTAACCACAGCCAAGTCCTCCAAAAAGATGAGTTTGAAATTAGAAAACATATTAGAAAACAAACGAGTTCAAAGTTAAAGTGCCACCCCATCCACAGTCATGTATTTGTTTTTGGCTCTTAGTATTCCTAATTTCTCATGTGCCATATTTACTCTCACTCTTAAGTCATTTCCTCCTCCAAGCTTTTGTTGGCAAACTTTGGCATGCTTCTATCTGGAAAGGCTAGGACTCATTTCTGTTTTAAGAGCAAACAAATGGTGCCATTACTCCCTGCAAAAATCCCCTTGCTGAGCATGTTAATATTATGCTCTCAGCTTTTACTGAGGGCCATTCTAAGAAACTATTATATGTGAATGTCTGTAACATCATCAGTTCCACTATTTATGCCATTCTCTATTACATAACTCACTATGACATCTACAAGATCCAGAGGACTGAGCAGGTGAATATTCATTTCTCCTGATGGACTGAGACATTTTTAGCTATCAACAGATGGGATGCTGTTGTTTCTTTTTCTGCTTTGACTTGCTGGGAACTCAGAGATGAATGTAATGATAAATTTCAGGTACAGGTACTATATTTGCCTAGATTTTTTGATATATCTATTTTTATTCTTATATCCAATATTTTCTTTTCCTAGTTTTTTTTTTTTTTTTTTTGTATGTGTGTGTCTGTGTTTTGTGTTTCTTTTTCTTTTTTTTACATTTTTCCTTTACTTTCCTTCCTTCCTCTTCTCTCTCTTTCTTTGTCTATCATATAAAACATGTACATTCTTTGGATTCTATTTTGAATGCCTTTGGAAAGAATGTGTGGTATACATAAGAAATCACTAATAATGTTATTATTTGAATGAACACTGGAACTCTCAGAAAGCCCATTTAACCTGAAACTTCATATTTGTCAAACTGCTAGTTTTTGGGGTTTATTTATTTTTTGGTGTAGTAGTGAAATAAAAATTAAGGGAGAAGAAAAAGAAACAAAAAGAAAGGGAAACAGCTCACAATCACTCAGGCTTTGTCTAAAAACATTAATACATGCAGTTACTGCCTTACCTGAGTATTCCAGCATTTATAAAATTGCAATTGCAAGCATCAACTTCTGAAATAAACGTGAATCATCTTAGAATATACTTAAACCCAAACATAACTGAATAAATCAAACTGACACAAGAATAAGAATGGTTTCGTTACCACTGAGGTCTTCCTGAGACTCAGCCGATCAGTTCTTGTCCTAAAATAGGCCTCATCGAAGGAAGAGTGGCTCCCCTTCAGTTTCTCAGAGAGGTTCCTGTACAGGCGTTTGGCTGCGTTGGGAGATGAGGGAGCACTATGCTTTTTTGACTGACAGAGATGTAAATTTTGCATTTGTTGGGTCATTTTCACACAACAATTCCTAAGAAGAGGAAAGCCTGATGTTATATCTTTTACACCACAAATTATAAGTTGACATATAATTTTATCATCTCCAGTCAGTATCTGGAATCCAAATACAATATTACAGCTGGTAGGGACCTTAGAGATGATCAGACCCCACTTTTTAATGTTGTAAATGAGAAAGCTGAAACCTACGGGAAGGAAGCAGCTTATTCATGGCCACAGAGCTAATTGGTGGCAGGAATGAAATGACAACCTCCATTTACTATATAAACATATTCATTTACATACAGACATATATATGATTGAACCTCGACTCAAGTCTTTACTTCTCTATCCCAAGTGTAGAAGCGTCTCTCTGTAACCTAGGGGGTCTGTTCAATTCCTCTTGGGTATATACAACTGGGAGTTTTCTACTTACATCCCCCTAGATGCTGGCGTCTGTTGGGTATATAAGAAAGTGTGACTCTGTCTCAGATGGACAGACACAAGTTAACTTCTGCATAGCCCCAATCTCTTGAGGTAGCAGTTAACTTGCATCTGTCCTCTGTCCATCTGAGGTTTGGTGAACTATCCCAGTACTCAGAAGCTTGGGGAATTTGTACCCATAGGCCCATCCCTGCTCACCTCAGATACCCTGGATGGGGTCCACCAAAGCACTCACTACTGGCATTCTTCAATTAGTACTTGACTGTTGTTTCAGAAATCTCTAACGAGGTCCCCACCAATGTCACACCTGAAGTCAGTTTCCAGATCAGCCATGCCATTCAAAAGCCACCCACAATGACTTTGGGTGTTGATCTTGAAATTTTGATGCTATCAAGGCTGTGGCTTCCTGGCATGTGTATATGTATATGTATTGGATGAACAAAGGAATGAATGAAATAACTAGTCAAGGTAATTCTGTGCAAAGTGTCTCCCTGGTAGAGCCTCTGATGCACCGGGCCCAGCACTCTCTAGAGCATGTCACTGCCTTCTCACCACTTCCCCTCAAATGTTTTAAATTTAATTTTTAAAATTAGTACATAATAAATATACACATTTTGGGGTATATGTGATAATTTAGTACATTTATATAATTTACAAAGATCAGATCAGTGTAAATTCCCATCACTTTAAATATTTAGGAGCCTAGTATATAGGAAGACTCATAGTATCTAATATTTTTGTTGTTGTAGGCATTCAATAGATAATTGAGAATAAATGAGTGCACATACGAGAGTCTATTATATTTAATATACTAGAGCACTACCCAGAAAGTTAATTTCATCTTCATGCCTTTGAACTGGATTCCATGTCTGCTAGCACAAACTAACTTCGATTCACTTTGACTTTAAGAAATGGAGATTCATTTTCATTACATTGTTAAATGTCCTCAGGCTTTTTGTTTGTTCGTTTGTTTTCTTTTTGTTTGATTTCCAGCTTTTAAGTTCATGGCTACATGTGCAGGATATGTAGGTTCGTTACATAGGTAAATGCGTGCTATGGTGGTTTGCTGCACAGATTATCCCCTTACCTAGGTATTAAGCCCAGCATTCATTAGCTATTCTTGCTGATGCTCCCCCTCCTCCCAGCCCGCAACCTCTGACAGGACCCAGTATGTGTTGTTCCTCACCATGTGTCCATGTGTTCTCATCATTCAGCTCCCACTTAAAAGTGAGAACGTGTAATATTTGGTTTTCTGTTCCTGCATTAGTTTGCTGAGGATAATGGCTTCCAGCTTCATCCATGTCCCTACAAAGAACATATCTCATTTCTTTTTATGGCTACATAGTATTCCATGGTGTATATAAACCATATTTCTTTATGCAGCCTATCATTGATGGGCATTTGGGTAGATTCTGTGTCTTTGCTATTGTGAATAGTGCTGCAGTGAACATATGCATACATGTATCTTTATAATAGAACGGTTTGTATTCCTTTGGGTGTATACCCAGTATTGGGATTGCTGGGTCAAATGATATTTCTGCCTTTAGGTATTTGAGGAATCGCCATGCTGTCTTCCACAATTGTTGAACTAATTTACACTCCCACCAACAGTGTAAAAGTGTTTTGTTTTCTTCATAATCTGGCCAGAATCTGTTGTTTTTTGACTTTTTAGTAATAGCCATTCTGACTGGTGTGAGATGGTATCTCATTGTGGATTTTATCTAGTGATCAGTGATGTTGAGCTTCTTTGCATGTTTATTGGCCACATGTATATTTTCTTTTGAGAAGAGACTGTTCATGTCTTTTGCCTACTTTTTAATGGGGTTGTTATTTTTTCCTGTAAATTTGTTCAAGTTCCTTGTAGATGCTGGATATTAGACCTTTTCAGATGCATAGTTTGCAAATATTTTGCCCATTCTGTAGGTTGTCTGTTCACTCTGATGATAGTTTCTTTTGCTGAGGCACCTTTTAAGTTTTGTCTGCAATTTCCTTCGAGATAAAAATACTTCCTAGATCCTTTTAAGGTGGTCCTACTTAGTCAGTCTTAGTGATGTCCAGGAGGCCCTACCCAGTTTTAGCTAAATGGACATATTTACATTTGGAAGGATGATGCAATGCATTGTCTGTAATGTATATGTATGTATATGTTTTTATAAATCTTTAATAACCTTCTCAAAAGTAGAAATGGAAAGGGAGGTGATTTGGCATCTTTTTTCTTCCATCTACAAATCCTTTACCTTTGATTCAATAGCAAATAGAGGGTTTTCTCTCACTTATTTTTTTCCATTCCCACAAAAATTCCAGATTCATATGCAAGCTGGCTCACATGGGGATTGCCTTAACCTCCTTCTTTCTGCCTTCTGTCTCTAGCTTTTTCCTTCAGCATTAATGCCCCAGTTCAAGCCATCTGTTTTCTCTACATCATTATTGTTCCCCAAATAACTCTACATTCTTTTGTATCTCCCACAATGCCCAGAAGTCCAGTAAATAAATTCTTGTCTATTGATCAATTCCAGCTACTTGCCCTCTAACTGATGACACCTACCCACATGGCCCCTTTTGTCTTTGCTTATCTCCCATCTGTTCCCTTCAGTCAACATAGGTTGACTTTCTCTGTCTCTCTGACTTCCTTCTCATCCTCCCCCAGCTGTCCCTTCCTTCCAGGCTATTCTGTAGCTGTTTCCACTCTTTTAGCTTCATCTATCATTATGTTTTCTTTTTCTACTCTATATTTAAAATTTTGTCAGATAAGATGGTGAGAAAGACAACTTTCTGTTATTTGTTATTACAAATATGCCCCTCCCAACTAATTGTACTCTTAAATTTTTACCCTTATGGAAAGAGACAAGCATTTGAGAATCAGTGTAGCTTTAGTTTTGGAATTTGGCAGACCCAGTTGGAATCTTGATATTGTTACCTACAATCTATGTGACTTTGGGAATCTTATTTAAATTCTATGAGTTTATTTCATCATTTATCAAAAGACATTTATCAAAACTCCTTTTTTCTAGAGTTGTGAAAATTAATCAACAAATGAAAGGTACCTATTCTGTTTTGTGCATAGTATCCACTCAATAAAGAGTAGAAATTATTACGTTGAGTATTTTTCTCAAAATAGAGACACCAAAGTATATCATAACAATTTAAATAGTTTTATTGCTTGTTTTAAATAATGTCTTGAAATTAATTTTATGTACTCAAGTAGAGACTTCCATATGTTTGTTTATAGTAACATATAATAAAACAGATATAGGAAGTAGAAACTTCAAACTATTAGAGGGAAGGGTAGAATAAAGATTAATCTAAAATAATTTAAAAATTAAAAAATAAAAAACATAATAAACAGAAAATGTAAAATGAAGTCATAAGGTTAATGTCCTAATATTATCTTTTCATAAATGATGAAATAAACTCAGGGAATTTAAATAAGGTGCCCAAAGTCACAGAGACTGTAGGTAACAATATCAGAATTTGGGCCTGCCATTCCAGAACCAAAACTATAGGTTGAATATATCTGTGCTCACAACATATTCAAAAGTTTACTTTTCCTAATAAAAGACAAAGATTCTCCGACCAGAATTCCTAAAAAGCCATTTACAAATGGTACACCTAAATAAACATTTCACATAAAGATTGAAAATAAAAAAAAATAATATGTCAATGGGAATGGCAGAGAAAGGACCTCCAAAAGTCCTTTTCTCTATAAAAGCAAAGAGAACCATAGAAAAATGGCTAAAATTAACTTTTTCAGGATCTGGGAAGTTAACCAAAGGCTTGCAGCAATCCAGGATGTCTTTATTCAAGAAAAATGGCTGAATTTAGTAAGAACAGCAAGCTTTGTGGCATTCTAACTTGCCCTGTTCCCATATTCTCCAGGTCTGTGGCAGTCTTGGAAACCAACAGTTTACATTCATGGTAAGAGCAGTGACCTGTCCCATCAAGCTACCATTGACTTCCTTGGCAGAATTACAAAAAACTTATTTAAATTTCATCTAGAACCACAAAAGAGCCCATATAGCCAAGACAATCCTAAGCAAAAGGAGCAAAGCTGGAGGTATCATGCTGTCTGACTTCAAACTATACTACAAGGCTACAGTAACCAAAACAGCATGGTACTGGTACCAAAACAGATATATAGAACGATGGAACAGAACAGAGACCTCAGAAATAACACCACACATTCACAACCATCTGATTTTCAACAAACTTGACAAAAACAAGCAATGTGGAAAGGATTCCCTATTTAGTAAATAGTGCTGGGGAAACTGGCCAGCCATATGCAGAAAACAAAAACTGGACCCCTTCATTACATCTTATACAAAAATTAACTCAAGATGGATTAAAGACTTAAATGTGAAACCCAAAACCATAAAACACCCTAGAAGAAAACCTAGGCAATACCATTCAGGACATAGGCATGGGAAAAGACTTCATGACTAAAACACCAAAAGCAATTGCAAAAAAAGCCAAAATTGACAAATGGGAGCTAATCAAACTAAAGAGCTTCTGCACAGTAAAAGAAACTATCATCAGAGTGAAGCGGCAACCTAGAGATTGGGGGAAAATGTTTGCAATCTGCCTCTCTGACAA